GAAATGTGCAAATACTCGTGGATTGGCAGAAATGTGCAAATACTCGTGGATTGACAGAAATCTGCAAATACTCGTGAATTGACAGAAATCTGCAAATACTCGTGGATTGGCAGAAATGTGCAAATACTCGTGGATTGGCAGAAATCTGCAAATACTCGTGGATTGGCAGAAATGTGCAAATACTCGTGGATTGGCAGAAATCTGCAAAGACTCGTGGATTGGCAGAAATCTGCAAAGGCTCGTGGATTGGCAGAAATCTGCAAATACTCGTGGATTGGCAGAAATCTGCAAATACTCGTGGGAGTGAAATAGGTTACATAGAAATTGAACGCGTTTCATCTGGATTTAAATGAAGTTCGAAAGTTATAACTATTTTACACTTTGATTGATGTTAGTATTACATAACTTACAATCACGTGTATACCGTACGGGGTGCAATGGCGTACATGTATATGACGTCATACTATGCTGTAAGATATTAGTATTCACTCTGTGACTTGAAATATTACTGTTATAACCATGCATGTTATGAAATTATTATGTTTTTCTAATTGCTAATATGACTCAATACCAAAATTACACGATTTTGGGGATATTTAAAGATGCAGTATGAACAAAAACAATATTTTTAAATATTTGTTTTTGTTACTTTGATCATGGAGGTATAAACATTCTTCCATGCTTTGATGCTGTAGCCTGAATCAAATTATAATTTAGTATGATATAACAATGATGCAGTATTCGTTAGATGAAAAATGAAAACTAATAATACGATTATTGTTACACGGACTAAAGCAACCAGTGCACAAACATATTAGTCCATTTTGTACTTTAAACGCCTAATTATTGTTAAGAATTAGCATAATGCATGTGCATATATTTACTGTAAATTTACTTTTCTGCTGGTTTGGCACTGTGCCAGCTCGACTGGAGTCCGACGCAAGAAATCGTGGGCTTTATAAATCATGCTTTGACATAGCCAGGGGTAACTATGTTATATATAGACTTTTTTGGGTAATACAGATAAATCACAATGCCGATGTATGGTCACATATTAACTGTTTTGTGTCAGAACTGATGCCTGACAGTGACTGTGAAAATAATACAAGACCGCTTTTTGCTTTCAGTTCAGAATGACTACGTCTCGTTCACTATTCATACCTATGTAGTTATTTACAATACAAGCAATCTGCGTGACGTGGCGACGAATGGTACCATGCAAAGTGTACTAGAGCGTACCACATACAACACCTATAGCGAACTATTTTAATTACAACTACTTCTACTTTTTTATCACTCGTTCATTCCTATGAAGCATTAATGGACCCGAGACCGGAGCCACAGGGAGAGCATGCACTTCTAGTTAACACGATTTAGTTTAAAGTTAGCGTGTCATTTGGTCGATATAGGTAGAAAACTGGGGCTTTGCGAAGATATAAATGTCAGGTGCTCAGGTGAGCGTGACAAGTCTGCGGAGAGTATACGAATGAAAAATACAAATACACGCATGCGCCATGTGTTAGGCCATGCAAAGATCATCTACATTGGTTTTGCATTAGGGAATGTATGTTGTAGGTAGGTAGGCGAAATTCAGTACCGTAAAATATTATATAGGATATGCAAATGGTAATCATAGCACGCTGGCAGGAATTTTTTGAAATGTTGTAAAGTTATTTCCTGTGACTGGAAGTCCGAATAAAACGTTGGGTAGCCACCGAGTTGTTGTTGAATTAAAACCCTGGGAGTATCAAAATGGCCGCACTAACGCTGTCTGAGAGATCATTTCTTCCATGGGAACAAATTCGGGCTCCTCTTTATTTATTTGCTGTTTGTTGATGAAACCTTTCCCTCAGTAAAATGTCAAGAATTTATAGTATTTTTATTTTTTTTAGATTTCTAATAATTCTAATTAGATTTGCACAAGTATATGGGACATTGCAGTTTAATAAAATATTCTGTTATTCTTAATAAGTACAGGTTAATTTGGTCGTTAAGTAATTTAAGGACGAGCTGAATGGCCGTTTCATTGCAGTGCGAGTATGATCAGAAGTGTTTCATTTCACTATGCCGAAAATCAGGTGTGTATTTTCACTTTTTTTTTCGGCCTAGATAATTTCATTCTACAAAACACGTATCTTTAATAAGTTAATTTATTTCAAGTTGATTTGACTCGGTCGGGATCTCGCGAAGCTTGATCTTTGTATCACATCCCGGACCACATACACTTGTATGTGGCATGGTGGGCGGAGTCAAGGAGGTAGACTTGTTTAGATTATACATAAGGGTATTCCCCCGGGCCAGAAAATAAATGCGTAAAATTGCTATGTTCCATGGACTATATACATATACTCGTGTAAATATAACTCGAATACCTAACATACATGGTGTATATTAGGCGTTGATGATAAGATCGTGGTCTATACTTAAGACAGTACTACAGTCATCCCGCATGATGGCTCCCCCTCCCATCCAATCCAAAACCAACCACCACCGTGACAGAGACGGCTCGGTGCTTTACGACTCTATGCATTAATTTGTTGACGTAGTACGCATATAATTAGAAGTTGACCCATGACACATTACTCGTCGTCGTTTTCAACAGGTAGAAACAGGGTTATTTTGGACAATGGCGTTATGAAAAGACTTACTAAAATAACGACTTAAACCACCTTTAATACACAGTGAGACATTGTTCACGTTACCGTCGCATATGCCCCAACCACCCTACTTGTAGTCGCTTGTCGTGAACCCGATGACAACCTTAAGTAATTAGTCTATCCCCTGTAGCTGTAATATATGTAGCCAATCACAAATAATGTGTACCCACAGAGAAGGCAAAATTGACTTTACGTAGCGCCATGTAGGCCTCCCCTTACTGGGTAGTACCCGGAAACGATCACTTTTTGCAACTTAAACAATCGGTTTCCATCAACATTGGTAATCGACGTGACATATTCGTCATAATTAATATTAACAGATATTTGAAAAATCATGAAAGCAGAGCAGAACTCTGAAACTTACCTTAAACGACCTTTTCAGCAAATTACGACTCCGGGCTCTGACGTAGTGTGGTAGGTATTGTGTATATTTCAATACAATGTAAACAGTAACACGACAGACTGCTTACAAGAACTATTGTGCTCACACGGTGTTATAGACCCCGTTGCTAAAACACTCATACCGCGTATAACAGAACATGAGCGATGTAATTAACGACGTCACAGAGGTGATGTTTGTCCTGACCCTGTTTTGTAATTTAGGCTGCATCATGAGTTCTCAA